AGAGAGACCAAAAGTGAGACATCACATCCCCTGGAGGATGGCCACGTGGCAATCCCTTCTCCTCCATTCTTCTCTTGGGATTTTGGGCACAACGCATGCACATGTGCCCAGTGTGAGTTTAAGCCACTGGATCTGGGAGTCAAACCGTGGTCAACTACATGGGAGTCCAGCAGCATAGCCATTACGCCATCTGCTGGTCCCATGACTCTTTTCTTGAGAATGCTGTAATTTTTTTTTTCTTAAAGCTGAACTGAGGTATATATCATGCTGAGTAAAGCTTCTTTACAATCTAAATGATGTATAGCAATTTAATGTATAAATAATAATAATAAATTTAAAAAAGAAAAAAATTGTGACAAAATATAAATTTAAAACTTAAATTCAAAAAAAAAAATCCTGCAGTATTAAATAAGGGAATAACCCCCAAACTTGGAGTGAGAAGGCCTAAATGAAGACTCTGGCCCCATTATTCATGTGTACCCATGCGCTAACCACATCCCCTCGCTCATTTGTGAAAGGAAAGGGTTGGATTAGATGATTTTTTGTAGCCACTTGCAGCTCTAACAGTCTTTGAGAGGGCACTTCAGGAATCACAGTCACCTAAGGATCAGCCAGTTTAAGTCCTAGTCCCGGAGTCACATGACTTGTTAATGGCTACTTAGGTGTGACTTCCTTCCCAGTCCAAGGAGTGTTCTCTTTATCTGCCATCTCCCTCTTCCTTCTGCTAGTACAGGCTACATGCTATCCTGCACGTCCTTGCTGCTCACAGCACTCCTGAAGGACCAGCAGAACAGGGGTTCCCTGGGAGCCATTAGAAATGCAGAAACTCGGGAACCAGCAGTTAGCGTAATGGCTATGTCGCTGGACTCCCACGTAGTCGACCGCGGTTCGTGTCCCGGACCCGGTGGCTTAAAACTCACGCCGGGCGCGTGTGCGTGCGTGCCCAAGATCCCGAGAGGAGAATGGAGGAGAAGGGATTGCGGCATGACCATCCCCCCTGTGGGGTGATTTCTCGCTTTCTGTCTCTATGTCTCTCTCTGTCTGTCTGGCGAGCGCACACGCCCTACAGTGAAAATCTCTCTCCAAAAAAAAAAAAAGAAAAGAAAAGAAATGCAGAATCTCAGAGTCAGCAGATGGTACACTGGTTACATTGCTGGACTCCCACACAGCCAACTGCAGGTCGAGTCCCTGTCCCAGTGGCTTGAAAATCATGCCAGGCGCATGTTCATGTGTGCTCAAGATTCCAGGAGGAGAGTGGAGAAGGGATTGTGGTGTGGCCATCCCCCCATGGGGTGATTTCTCACTTTCTTTCTCTCTTTCCAGCAAATGGACACACCCTATGGCAAAAAATAACTGGAAAAAAAAAATACAGAACCTCAGGCCTCACGCCACACCTACTAGCTCAGCTAACAGAGGAGCATGACAAACCACCTTTGTCCACAAAAAATAGTAACTCATATCTTTTTTTTCCCCCTACACATTTCAGATTTGAATTTGGCAAAAAGACAGCCCAAACTCTGAAGCTTGAAAATGCCTTGTATTTTGATCGGAAATACCTTTTTGCAAATTCCAAGACTTACTTCAATCTAGCCGTAGATGAAAAGGGCCTTTGGATTATCTACGCTTCCAGTGTGGACGGCTCGAGCATTCTTGTGGCACAGTTGGATGAGAGGACATTCTCTGTGATGCAGCACATCAACACCACGTACCCCAAGTCGAAGGCCGGCAACGCCTTCATCGCCCGGGGGATCCTCTATGTCACAGACACCAAAGATATGAGGGTCACGTTTGCCTTTGATTTGCTGGGAGGGAAACAGATCAATGCAAACTTTGATCTAAGAACTTCCCAGTCTGTTCTGGCAATGCTGTCATACAACATGAGAGATCAACATTTATATTCGTGGGAAGATGGCCATTTAATGCTTTATCCTGTGCAGTTTTTGTCGACTACGTTAAAGCAGTGACACTCTGTTCCCCTCAGTAAATTTCAGATGTTTTCTGGAACCATTTCTATCTCCACAGAAAGCTTGTCTTTAAGTATAGCCAAGAACGGAGGATGTCATGTCATACGTGAGCAGTTAACGTGGCCAGTAAGCCCCCCTGTAAAATCAGATGGCCCGGTGAAATCACGGAGGATTGAAAGTTAAAAGAGTGAGATTTGGCGATTCCTCCACAAACTAGCTAGGCAAGTTATCTCTTCTTGGGCCTTGGTTTCCCCATTGGGAAGATGACATAACTGGTTAACCTGGTTGGTAAGAGTTCCTCTACTTGGGGACATTCTGATTCTTGGCAGTAGCTAGTCACTTTTCTCTATCTGGTTCTGGTTTGGTTCTGATTTTTAGCTGCAAGCTGAATAGTGCTGGCTTACCTTTGCAAGGTACCATGCTCTCCATAATATATTACATTTCTTTGCATGTGCCACCATAGAATGACCGTTGTCCTCAGCTCTTAATTACAGCTCCAAGATTAGCAAAAGTCAGGAACAGTTACGTGCTCAGGGTTCTTAATGAAACAGAATCATACTCTCTCAGGGTCTTACCAACTTCTGATCAGGTTGATTTGTGGCTATGGATCATCAATAATGAGTCCTCAGGTCAGTCTGGTGGCTTCTGTGGACCCACTCTGAGGTGACAAAATACTATGTGAATGGGCATTAGCCAGGTTGGAATCATGAAAAGCACTTTGCAGTGTTCAGAAGAGAGGCATCGTTTATGGTTATTATCTAGAACAGGGGTGAGGAAACTATGGTCCTAGGGTGAAAACCAGCCCATTGCCTGTTTTTTTTTTATAAATAAAGTTTTATTAGAACACGATCACACTCATTTGTTCATAAATTAGAATTAGCAGAGGAATAGTTGCAGCAGAGCCTGTAAGGCTCCATAAAGCCTAAAATATTTACTATCGTTCTCTTTGTAGAAAAAGTTTGCTGACCCTTGATCCATAATATAAAGTAAGCCTGATTCCTGGAAGGGTTTATTCACCAGAACCCATTTCGTTTTGTTACACACTAAGAAATATTTGCTGTGCTTTGAGCTTTGGGTAGAGGAAGTCCAAGAATAACATAAAACGAAGTGGCCCTTCACAAAGGCAGTTAGGGAGCTGTGTTTTCCCTAACATGGCTTTAAAGGATCTGGTCAAGAGATGCCAGGAGAGATCCCAGTTTAACTTGCTGCTAACTGCCCTTAAAGACGCATATTTTCTGCCAACTCACTTCAAACATCTTTCAGCCCAGCACTGAGGTCCTGGCAGGACCACTGAGAATTGAGAAGCTGGAAAACGTTCCTGGGTCTTGCAGGAAGGGGACCAAGAAAATTGTATATAAAAAAAGATTTTTCAATAATTTGCCCCAATTTGTGTGTGTTCAGAATTTTTTTTTCCTGGGCCCAAATCCATTCTCAGTGGTTGCGAGTCTTGGTTTTATACTTTATTACTAGGAGCATTTTAAAACTTCGGAGATGTACAGTTTTAAATATTTAAAGCTGCCCATCTCCTGAAAATACCCAGGCAGCTGTTAGTCACTTGTTTGTTCTTGTGTTCAGATACTTAAAACTTTTCACCCCACCTTTTAATTAGACTGATTTAATTAGACCATTTCACCACAACCTTTTAAAGCTCTTCTTTTCCGTTTCAGGTTTTTTTACCAAAGTAGAGTCTCATGTTCAAGATCAATGCATCTAATGAGTACTAGTGTTCTTTAAAGTTTTTTTTTTTTTTGAGAAATTTTTGCTATAGGGTGCGTGCGTGTACTTGCCAGAGAGACAGAGACAGAAAGAGAGAAATCACCCCCCGAGAGGGGATGGCCACACTGCAATCCTTTCTCTATTCTCCTTTCAGGATCTTGGGCACGCATGCACATGTGCCTGGCATGAGTTTAAGCCACCAGGTCTGGGACTTGAACCATGGTGGACTACATGGGAGTTCAGCAACATAGCCATTATACCATCTGCTGGTCCCTTAAAGTATTTAAATGTAAATGTTGGTGTTTCTAGACACAAAAGACTTGGATATATAATATAAAAGACTTGGGTATACAATACAATTTCATAGCAATAGCAGTATTAGGAACCATATTGTACATATTACTAACTGTATATATAGTAGCGACTGAAAGAGATGAGTTACAGATTTAGCACATGTTCCTTTTAGGAAAATGTTTTGGAAGCCCGTCTTGTTATCTTGGCTCCTTTCATTGTGGGTAAGGAATCACATGTTCACCATCAGAGAAGCCGACATGGAGACCTGGCTTTCACTCTTTTGCCATGGCGGAGTTAATATAAGGACGACTGAGTTTCACCAACGTTTAATAGGAGTGGGTAATTTTATAATCTGGTTGACAGTTTGTCTATACAGAGTGAAAAAAAAATAAGATTTCATTTTTTTTTTTCTCTAAACAGTACTTGAGTTTTTTCAAAGTTCTGGATTCACTGCTAAAATAGAATGCACGACCTAATGTTTTTAAGTCGAGACATTGTTTGACTAGTTTATAAATCTTAGTGGCTTTAAAACATTTTCCAAATATTTGCACTTCTGATGTCAGAATAAGTAAACCAGATAATTCTCAAATTTTTCTCTTATCCAAAGCAGATAGAGCTCCCCACTGGAAAGTAAATAGAACCATCCCTCCCAACCTCAAAGGGAAGTGAGGCTCCATTTCAAAGCACTTTTTTTTTTCAACTGATAGTGTCCTAGTGAAGCTTGCAGGTGGCTCTGGCCCCAGTGTATCACTAAGCACAGATGTTAGGACACAGGAAACATTCTGGGGGGGGGGGGAGTTTTAGAATGAAGAGTTTTTAACTTGAGGCATCTTGAGGGTTTTATTGCCTTCAAGGTTACAAGGTGAAAAGTAAGTGAGACACCACAATGCCAAAAAAAGAGAAAAAATATTGGCTATGACTCTGATGTCAAACCATCTGAAGAAGTGAGTGGCAGGGCCCTTCAGATTGCAGTTAGCTGCTGTGACACTGTTTTTCATATCATTAAGGCCATAATTCCCAATCTATACCCACAGATTCTGAACAACAAATAATGATGAATGTCTATTTGGTTGTAATTTATTTAACTGTAATCTAATTGGTCAAATAAAATAATCATTGCTGAGCACAATCACACATTGAAACAAGTGTATTGTTATTGTTACCTCTTAATTTATATATATATTTATGTGTGTGTGTATATATATATATATATACACATATATATATATATACATATATATACATATATATATATATATATATACACTTTAACAGAGAAGATAACCACCCAAAACAATATGGTGGTAGAATTACACCGGTTGCTCAACTGTGAAAATCCTCACAATTTGCTATTTCCCTTTGAACGCTGAAAAGACATTGATATGGAACGACATTTTTTGGTACAGGAAAACATGAAATATGAAAATCTAGTAACCAGAGCTGAGTATACACAGACGTAAATGCAGTGAAGGCTTACTAATTTATCACCATGGGCAGGGAAACTAAGAACATATGTTTGGAACTAAAAACAAAAATTTTAAAACTGCATTTGTATGAATTTGGGCAAGTTTCTTTATCAGAGCCTCTGTTTCATCTGTAAAAGGTGGATGATAGTATTACCTCCCTGGGTTTTTCTATGTGAAATACTCTGAACGTTAAATGATTTTTAACATATTATAATTGTTACTTTTTTTTTTGCCAGAGGTTTTTTGCTTGCCAGAGAGAGAGAGAGAGAGAGCACCTTTCCCCACAGAGGACATGGTCACACCACATACCTTTCTCCTCCATTTCTCCATCCCATCAGGATTCAGGGCATGCACACACATGTACCTGGTTTGTTTTTCAAGCTGCTGGGGATAGGATTCAAACTTCAGTCCCTATGCATTGCACCTCACATTGTGCTACAGGGCTGACCCTAATTATTATTTTTATAGTTCATCCCGATAAGGATCCAGAGTGGCTGTGTTATTCTTATGGCCTTATCTAGGGCTGCAATGTCAGTAAGTTTTCATGGGCTGGTCTGCTGGCTCAGATGGGTAGCATTGCGACACCACCAAAAATGGTCCTAGATAATGAAAAAACATCTCAAGAACCTGCTGTCCTGAACTATGGAGCTTCTTTATACTTTTCTAGAAGTGTCTCTACACTGGCAGCCAAAGCAGGCACTACTGATTACTTTTATTATCAAATATTATAGAGCAAAAAGAGAGAAAGTCTAAAAGAAAAACAGTCATGCCCTTGATGTGGGCTGTTCAGACCTTACATGTGATTTTATGACATCTAGTCTTCTAGCCATTCATGTAAAATTTAAATAAGGATGAAATTATTCTCTCAGTTCCATTACTTTTTCTTCTCTGCTATGATTAACCCCAACAACTAAGTCCAGTTTTAATGAAGTGGTGGTTAAACTGACTCGGCCGTGATGGTATGTCCCGATCTGCTGCTCAGCAAGCTGAGGCTACATGGGAAGCCCAGGTTTGATTGCCAACCCACCCTGAAAATCCTGTGCACACTTGTCGTCTCAGCTTCTCGGGAGGCTGAGGCTGAAGTGTCATGAGTAGGCTGCTGGGCAATACAGAGAGACCCTCTCTGAAAGAGCTGGGATGGTAGTGTGCACCTATAGTCCCAGCTACTTGGGCTGACGCAGGAAGATTGAGACATGGCAAGACTGTCTAAAAACATAATGCGTGCATGCACACACACTTGGTTAAGTTACTTTTAAAAACTTGATTCCTGTGTCTAGTAATCTGGTGTTGTGAAAGTTTCAAACTTGTTTGCCAAGAGGCTACCCATGTGCCCAGCCCTGGCAGTGCAGGCTGTAGCATACTGCACTGCAGCACTGAAAGTCACATGGCAGACCATGGTTTGGATCTCTGGGTTGGCCAGGTGCTCACACATGCATGCCCAGGATCCTGACGAGCTGGAGGGCTAGAGGAGGGGACTGCAGCACAACCAGACCCTGTCAAGGATACTTCTCCCCCTCCTTCTTGCATATATGCACATGCTATCATGAATAAAATAAACTTTTAAGAGACCACGTAAGACCTGATCCAACTCTCTCATTTTAAAGTGTACAAAAGTGAGGTCAGAGATGACTAACTCATCTCACGTTGTAGCTGAAGTGTCAAGAGGAGACATTGTTTCCTGAGTATGATCAAATTTTTACCCTCATGTAACCACTTCCAAAGGAAGGATCTGGGTTCATAATTGAAAGTGAAAATAATTCACGTTGAACATTTTTAAAAAGGCACTCCTGTACCGGGACCAGCAGATGGCATAATGGGTGCATCGCTGGACTCCCATATAATCAACCGCAGTTGGCTGTCCAAGATTCTGAAAGGAGAATGGAGGAGAAGGGATTGCAGTGTGGTGTGTATATATATATATATATACACATATATATATATATACATATATATACATATATATATATATATATACACTTTAACAGAGAAGATAACCACCCAAAACAATATGGTGGTAGAATTACACCGGTTGCTCAACTGTGAAAATCCTCACAATTTGCTATTTCCCTTTGAACGCTGAAAAGACATTGATATGGAACGACATTTTTTGGTACAGGAAAACATGAAATATGAAAATCTAGTAACCAGAGCTGAGTATACACAGACGTAAATGCAGTGAAGGCTTACTAATTTATCACCATGGGCAGGGAAACTAAGAACATATGTTTGGAACTAAAAACAAAAATTTTAAAACTGCATTTGTATGAATTTGGGCAAGTTTCTTTATCAGAGCCTCTGTTTCATCTGTAAAAGGTGGATGATAGTATTACCTCCCTGGGTTTTTCTATGTGAAATACTCTGAACGTTAAATGA